GACAATCTCACGCACTTGTCCATCGTTTTACCGACTTTCCGAAATTTTTTCCGAATTTCGCTCGCTGGTAAATACTACCGTAGCTGTTGTTGGCCACCGTTGCTATGATCAGACTGATCATTAAAAACAAATTTTCGAGCCAGATAATTTACAGAAACTGCCGTGTAAAGACGACCGGGTCGGATGTTAACGTTACCAAAAATGAAAAATGCCACGCTAAAATGGCAGCTTGGGAGTAAGCGAAAAGAAATTCTTCAATCTCTGATTCTCTGAAACTAAGGAATTTTTACATCCATTTTTTCACTTTACAAAAAGCTAATTTTTTACGAATTTATTTTTGGTTTCTGATTAAGCATAGGGTTCGCACTAAAGACCATTAAAGGTCCTTAATAGAAATTCTTGTTTGAGTAGAAAATTTGAATTATTGGAATTGCCATTATAAGGGACTGGACAAATATTCAGATAAATGAACGAATTTTTTTAATGAACAACATAGTACACAACATTATTATTGACATAATATAGTAGGTTATCACATTGAACTTTTATCAAACTAAATGTAAAATTTCAGTCGAAAATCACACGCAAAAACATTAACTACTGGTTGAAATAAGTTTGGAGAATAGCCATATTTTTGGAACACTTATAAACTATAAAAGCAATTATTATGAAAAAAAATAACACTTCCAGTTAAAAAATACAGCTTTGTGAGTGCCTGAATGACGAATTTTCCAGACTACGTTTTCTCACTATCACATTATTTAAAAATCATCAAGAAATAAGATAAGCCAAATGCGGTCAATGTTACTTTTATGTTGACATTCAAGCAATGTGGCTTTCTCTCAAAAACGCAATAAATTCTAAGTAAAAACTTTGAATTGGTACCACTTTAAGAAAATATGAAGTCCTAAACTAAAAAGTAAGGGACACATAGTTCATAGGGTAAAATGAGGAAATTATTGAAGTGTTCAAAAAACCATAATTGACTCTGAAAACTAGAGTACTTGCTTAACTGAATAATGTCAGGTTTTAATTTTTGAGAATTAAAGTCAAACATCTAGGACATGTTTCAAATGCGAAACCGGGGTGTGGGACATTGAGAGGAACTGAAAATTCAAACATTTTGAGAAGTGTAAGTACCTTAATTTTTTTTAAAAACCGTTGTTCCGGAACTATTTTACGTAAAGTGTAAACAAGTTTCCTAAAAAAACAAAACACAAGTCTAGTAAAAGTTTGCAGACTTAAAATTCCTTGGTTTTAGAGAATTACCCGACTAGCTGATTTTCTGTCTCTTATCAATCATCTCATATCAGTTTTTTCACTTAACACTAATCCAGGAATTATTTTCACAGGACAGCCAAAAGAAACAGTCGAAGAGAACTCAAAATTTAAACGTAAGTAGTTCTTGAAAATTGTCTTTCCTGACTATTCCGTGTTATCGATTTCACCTTATGACTATTCCATCCAAGCCACAAAAGAAACAGTTCTCGTTGTATTCGCGAATAATTCATATCTGGCACTTTTTTTTTCGAAAATTTAGTGTGCAGTCACTACTCTAATGTATTTCTAAATCATTTACTAGAATTAGCTACCACTCTCCTAACTAGTCCTATAAGGATTTTTTCCACATAACCATGTCTTTTGGCTGGAGGTTTATCTGATACTCGTAGGTCGCTTGTTGTGTAACAATAATTGACGACTTCGTTAATTGCTATGACTGATGCTATTGATATCTCATTATATCATCAAGTGACGAGAGACTTTTAGTAAGAGATTCAAGCTACTCTCGATAGACATATTGACAATGGCTTATCTTCAAGGGAAAGATGGATTTTTTGTTTCGCACTTGTACTACCCTACCTTTTACTATTTATTTTGTTTTGTAGATCTGCCACTGGGAAGACCTCGTTTGAGATGGGAAGATGTGGCGATACAGGATTAGTTCTTAACTAAAAACTAAGTACGTTTCCGGTTAAAGTGTACATTATTCGATTTTATTGCTTTGTTGTGGAATCTCTGCTGGGTTTCTTTGAAATGGGCATAATTTTTTTCGGGTGCATCAAACGAAAAAATTTGACGAGATAACCGCCGAGTCGACTGGTCCAAGTCTCTTCGTCTTCTTTAAAACGGAAATTCTGGGCGTGGACCATAATGTTCGACTTGTCGTGGACCAACACCATGCCGCCTTTTTGTTGGTCCGATCCTTTGTCGCCATTCACCTGGGAAATATATGAAAACTCAAAAGGCTCGTACTGCTTCCACTTGGTTGCTTCCGCGTGTTCCACGATAACGTATTTAGTAAGAACCGTTGTTTTAGGCGTTTTCTTGTGTATGACAAGAGTGGGCAAGCCGGGCCGTGACTTACCTGTTGATTCCTTTGTCGAAAACCTTTTGCGACCCAAGTTTTGGCCCAAGTCGAGTTTCCTCGAAAGGCTCCGGAACCTGTAACCCCGTACACAGACTTATGACTTGAATACATTTTTTGGAGGGGAGGTGCTAATCCCCTCGCGCCCGCCCCTAACACAGCCTAATCGATGCTCTAATACCGTACTTGTCCATTTCCTTCTTTTTGACGACCATTCGCCATTTACAAAAACGCGTGACGGTCTGACCACGGTTGACCGCCTATAGCTGTTGTTTTATTTGTGTACAAACCGCCACAAAAGTAATAGTTACTGTGGTTAAAAATAAATAACGACAACCGTGTTATCGGCCGGCAATTCCCAACGTTGTTTCTATTTTTTTGAATCGTTTAAAAAGCTGCGGTCGACAGAGTTCCGATTGAAGTTCGTCTCTGGTCGATACGGTTTCACTGAAAACTTCAAATTTCCCCTTGTAGGAAGGACAATAATATTATAATAATATCTTACGATCAGCTGATTTCCTGTCTCTTATCAAACATCTCCTTTCAGCTGATACTCAATAAACTCATCCACTCCCAGCCATAAGATATATTCATGTCAAAATTGTCAACAATTAATGTAATTTGATTTATTCATTTTTGAACTAATTTACAATTTCATTATTTCATCGGACAAAAATTATGTAATTTCTCTAAAATCAGAAATTTTAAGAGGGAAACGTGGAATAAAATTAATTTTATTTTTTGAACAACTCGAGTTCATTTTTGAGTATTAATTTTAACTTTCAACTTAACTAAGTAAGGGATCTAGAGATCAAAATGATTGAGTGTAGTAAATGACTAGGCAACGCTAGTTGGGCTTAATATATTTCTTCAGTTGGTTCAATCACGAACATTTCTTAGTAGGTTTATGACAGAGTTCACTAATATTATCTTTATATAATAACTTCCAAATCAAAATCCACGATTTCACGTGTATAGTAATTCATAGTACTATAAAATACTATGTTGATATTTTTAGAAAACGCGAAATTCCTCAACTAGTCGCGACAACTTCACCACAATGTGATTTTTTATAAGTCAGATGGGACTTTTCCTCTCTTTGTTTACCCTAGAACACTGCTATAGATAGGACGAACCTTTCCAGAGAGCCTCCGCGAATTTGTTTGTCACTGCACTGTGGGCTTATAGTTTTAATTTCAAGTAACAATAGACAGAAAAACTATTTGTAGAGTTTAAAAAAAAAAGGAAATTGCCGTTATATTGACATATATTAAAATAATATTCAAAAATCATCCGGCTTCATCGGCGCCGTACCTAGTGTTACACCGCATCTCTTATGACGTGCTTTCGTGTTGTAAAATATTCTTTTGGTGGGGCAAACACAAACTTTTTGAGCAAGTATTGTGCCGTTTCTGCTTGGACGGAGTCAATATGGTGGTGGCCTTGTCACCGCATTTGGACGGTTGCGGTGGACTGGACGGCAGTTGCCCGTGGTGCTTGTTCAGCTTTACCGTGACCACCGTGTCCGAAACACTGGAGGCACTGTCGGCCGAGTCTATATATCTGTTGCTGTGACTTTGCCAGCCCGAAGACACGATGTCCTTATGTTTTCTCTTGCCGGTCTCTTTCTTTTGGCCGGTTGACTTGCCGTGGTGTTTCGGCTTGATTCGTTTGCCATTGTGCGGCATCGCTTTGGAGTCACCATCCGGTTTCCCGGCGGCTTCGGGAGACTAAAACAAAACGGCAAGACCCGATGATCACTAAGAATAATTTGCCGGCGAGAAGTCAGACCAGTGTTGGGCCAATTACTTGTACAGATCAAAATATGATCCGCTAACCGGCAAAAGATAAAATTCCAATACAATATTTGTTGGTTGTCAGCTCCTTGAGAAAATATTTCTCCAACCGTTCCTATCTTGGCGACAATTTCAACATTTGTACCTTGTTTTCCAATATCACATCAATCTCGAGCAACCTATTACTCTATCGCTCGGTAGCAGCCTTAAGAAGGTCAGTTATAGACCTCAAATTTGAAATTTGGATGGATATACCACTTTCGGTTTAATAAACTACCCCAATAATTCCTTCCCCTAACCTGATCTGACTTGCTCGCGAAAACTCAAATGATATGTCAACGTGACTGTACTGCGGACGGAAGAAGACCCGCGTTTATCTTGGTCTTGGACCACATTTTCCGGGTCAAGACCAACAAGAAGGCAACGGTGACGGCGACACTCACGGCCAACACGAGCCAGACGTGTTCGTAGTCCAGCCAAGACTTTTTTGGGGGCGAAACACAATAGCTCTGAAACAGACAACACCAGGCGCTGTCCTTCGCTAACATAACACGACAACGTTTGACACTATACCGACGGTAATAAATAAAATAATATCGTCTTAGAAACTGCCAACAACGGTTGCCGTCATACTTGCAAGGGTTAGTAGGTCGCCGAGTTAAACTAACAGCGATGTAGTACACTTAGACGTTTCTGTAGTTACACAAACGCGGTGTTTATTGGGAATGGCCAACAGGTTTTCCCACGATTCGCAATATCATCGTTACAATATAACATAACAGAGACAAAGAAACAAAAAAAAAAAACATTAAGCTAATACTTTCATTAGGTTAGGCAGATTTTAATAAACGATCGAAATAAAAAAAAAATACAATATAATAATACATAGAACATTACTTAAAATACAATATATTATCTAGTTATTCCAGTAATTCAGCTATAGCGATGGTGTTTTTAAATATTATCTACACAAAATAGATGGCACGTGTGTCGAATATTATTATAGTTACTAAATTAGTTAAAACCGTTATAATATAATATAAGTCGTCTAACACTATCGGTCAGTCGACACGGCCTGACTGAAAACCACAAAATAACAATGTAGATGTGGTACACGATGAATAGAAAAGTAATTTGGAAAAAAAAATACAATTTTTCGCTTAAATCGAATTATAATAATAAAAATTGAGGCGCTCAGATGCCAAACCGATTAACTGCACTTTTTTATCATTTTCAGTGGCCAAGATAAATAACTCCTTAGTTAAATTTTTCACCACTAGAGTGCGCTAAGAAAATTGGCAATTGTACTTACATACATTGTTTCAAACAACTTTAACTACCTGTCCCGAAAAATTCCATTTTATGGAGTCAATCGGTTTGACATCTGAGCGCCTCAAATGTCCTACACTGTCGTACACTATTCGCGTTTTACCATGAAAACCAGGAACCCGTCAACGTCTTGAAGCTCATTTGATGTAAACTTTGCAGCCAGCACGTTTCTGCCGACCGTTTGCGGTACAACCTTAAACGAAACAGTCACTTCGTCTTTGGAATCCACGTTCCTAACACAAAAAAAAAAAAAAATAACCATACAGATTTGACGGGATCGGGAGGGCATTCTACTGGAAGGGGAAGAATCTATAGAAGGGAGGAGCTTTTGTGAAAGATGGCAAAGTTAGATGGAATAGTTGCGAGTATGAATGGAATAGGAATGCAATGATGATAAGGTGGAATCTATCGTTCGTAGAAAGCTGATCATAAGATAATATGTTCATGGTCCCATCGAGGGTCTAGCACTAACAATTCTAATTTTCGTTATATTGGTCACACCCTCAGTTTAATTGCATTCATTTGCCACATAAATTTAGCGCTAACCTAGAAAAGTTAGGCCGAAAAAAACCCTTTTTTACTCCAATGTGAAATTGTAAAGCATAGAATAGTTTCTAATAGGCTTTAATGCTCAGACAAATGAATGGAGGAAACTGCAATCCCTTTTTCGGCGACCGAATATACTGAAATAGATTAAAAATAGAAGGTGGCTTTGGACAGGACATGCCTGGAGGAAGCATGATTCGCTGATAATAAGGAAAGTAATTGAGGAAAACCCAGTAGGTAGGACACTTCTTGGGAGACCAAGGTTAAGGTGGGAAACTGTGGTGTTGAAAGAGATGCAGAGGCAGTGGAACCGAATAGTCATTGGCAGGAAATAGCAGAGGAAAGAGATAGATGGCAGTGCGTTTATTTAGAGCTGTGGTTTTGAACTTTATCTTAGAACAAAACTACGGTTCGACTTACTTGGTGAGTTTGATTTTGAGTCTTTTGCCCACCAACGCTCCTTCGATGTAAAATATTCCTTTTTTCAACGTCACCGGCAGGGGATTAACGAACGAAGCCGTCGCCATACAAGTATTGCCCAAAATTGGCGATTGGTCGAACTGTGGAGCCGTTGTTAAACAGTCAAAACCAACAAATACACAACAGCTATTTGGAGTACTCACGGTAATGGAAATGTCCGGGTTTCGCACTCGGAAATCGTCTTGGGCGTAATACTCAAAGTGTGTGTCCAAAACGGAGGCCAGACAAGATATGTTGAACACGTTTTGGTTCTTCACGTATTTGGCATAGTCAAAGTAAGTCAACACAGTGTGAACCACTTGAACGTTTGCATCTGGAGCGAAAAAACCCGTCGGTAAAATACTCACAACTCACATAGGTGTTTAATTTTGGATTATTAGAATTTAAAACAAATTTAGAAAACGTTTCGCTAAACACGTTTTTCTCAAAATTAATCCTTTGAAGTGATTTGATTGCAACAATTAACATAGTCGTATCGTTAACTATTTTTGGATTATTAACACTAACTATTCAAGTTCAGTTCAAAATTTGAGTAACAATTTCCACTAAGTTTAAAATTAGTCCTATTATTGACCTATAACGTTTTGACTCATGTGCCCTCTTATCGTCACTTTTTACTCTTATCTCTTATCACGCATCCTTATCACACTTTGTTATACCTTTTCACTCGTCCTTAGTAAATTGTGTGAACTTATCAGTTAAAATAATGAGAGACCGGATGCGTTAAAAACATTATTCCCCTTTCATAATAAGGATAGTTGAAATATTAAAAAAACTGTTTACCAACGTCGTGGAGAACGACTTTTTCATCCTCAATTGAAGCGATCAGTGCGTTGTTTTTGCCAGTGTAGTCCATTGATTCTATGCGCAAAACTATTTTCACAGTGTAATCCTGTGCGCCACGGTTAGTTATTGATACGGCAACCCTGAAATGAAATTCCAAAAAAAACATAAAGACATGCTAAAAATCGAAATGCAGTTGGCGCAAATAAGTGTATTAAAAAAAATATGGTCTGCAAACAAAAATCGTTTGACATAATATTTTATAGTATTTTCCCGTGTTGGCATTAACGTTAAAAACATTTCAAACCTGAAATTTTCTCCAATAACAATGTCGTCGACTAGATTGAAATCGAATTTTATATCGTTGAAATTTTCGTTTAAGTAGTAACGACTAAAAATACTGGAACTCTGCTTCAACGCGTTTAACATGGCGTTTCTTTCTTCGCGAGATTCTTAAAAAAAAAACAAAAATATTTGTCAACAGTTTATTTTGTAATTTATTTATTAGGGTAAAGTTTTTCATTTTCAGACACTCTTAAAGCTATTTTTTAAAAACATTTTCTATTCACAATTTAATTTTTTGATACACAGTTGATTTGCTTTAAATTGTTTTTCAGGCAAAATTAGCATCTGATACTGTTTTGTCCCCCCTAAGACTTTGCGACGAGTGGTTCTGTACATAGTGTCAAATATAATTTAATGAACCAATATAAGCTAGCGATAAAGTGATAACTGATAAGTGTGCAAAAAGTGGGAATAGAATAATGGCAAGCGGAATTAGATAATTTCTGGATAGCTGATTAGAGAATATTGATAAGAGTCAGACAATCATTTGATCATAAGCATATTGATAATCCAACGGCTTTCCTTCAAGGAAAGATTGAAGAATTGGGTTTCACACTTTTATGTCATAAAGGGTATGAGTAGATAAAGAGAAGGATACAATGTGAATGTACCAAGTGCGGATAAAGGGAGTATGAGACGAGAGACAGGAAATCAGCTGATCACAAAACACATTCATGATGTAACGTCGTATCTTCAAGAGAAATGTTTTTTTTTCGCAAATGACTGATTCGAAAACGTAGGAATGTGTTTAAGACAATGTGCACTTACTTTCTCGGTATTTATAGCTATCGGTGATGTCTTCCGGTTCCCACATGTCCACGGCTTTGGTGCAAATGAACCGTCCGATTCTAGACACATATACACACAACAGTAACCAGAAAATGTACAAGAGGCCCAGTTTGACCGTTGACTGTCATACTCACGCCTCTTCGTCTTTGCGCAACAACTTGAGCGGTTGAGACACGCCGTTGTACTTCCAGTAGACCTTGTCGGCGTTCACTTCAGAGAAAACGAAACCTGTGTCGTAAGGGGTTCGCACTTCACCGGCTTTGACGGCAGCCACGTTGGCAGGGCCACATCTGTAAATGTTCTCGCTGAGTTCTTGCGGTGTGGCGTCGATCACTTGCCAGCCGTGTGCCGTCACTTTCAAGTCGGGCCTTGTCATCCACACTTCGTTCCAGACGTGATAATTCCTTTACGAAAAGCTCATTAGGTTAGGTCACCGTGTAAGGAATTCTATACAGCTGCGGTTTTGCAGTTGTGTAGGCCTAACCATTGGCGGTAGAAAGCAACAACTACTAGTGCCACACGCTTGGTGGAAATCCCAAGTTCAATCGAACTTTTGCCTATAACACTGGACAACAGTGTTTTATGTAACAAGTGTAAGGTGCTTACTAATTTTGAAATACCTACCTAGCCTCATTATAAAACCATATTTGTTTTGATTCAAGGAGTTTTGTTTTCCAGTAAAGTGGTTGTGTTTCATGTTTATCGAGTTAAGTGATTCTTGAATAATGTCGAGGAAGTGTAAAAATGACCCTGACAAGTTTTGCTGTATTTGTGGTGAGGAATTCGGAATTATTTGGATGGCGGTAATCACAACAGCTAGACTTTGCCAAATTTGAGTATGATATGCCGGACCTGATAAAGTGGTAAACTTATGTAACAAATGAGTACGAAATTAGGTATACCGTTGCTCCTTAGTTTATGCATCCTGGTCAAGCTCTAGGTTATCATCTTGAAAGTGAAATAAAAAAAGACATCAGTGCTTGATGCGTAAAAAATAAATGCCATTTAACGTAAAATATGTTTGTTTTTTATGCGTTTGAGACATTCAGAAAAGTACGCAAACGATAATAATATTAAAGCTAGCATTGAGAGTACATGTCCAAAGTAGGAGCAAAAAATATTGATAATAACAATTAACACAAATTAAAATTTAGTTAGAGATAATAGATAAGAGAATGAGAGACTATAGATAAGAGATTAATGATAAGACAAAAACATATCCACAATTTAATGTTGTTCCGTGGATAGGTGAAAATAACTATTTGGTTTTATTTTTTCTGTTGCCTCTCATTCTCATGCCAATAAATTAAGTGATAATAATACTATGTGTTGCTTTCCACCGACAATGTGATCACAACGACTCTGATACCGACCAAATGGAATCGGTAATCATCTCTTCCATGATTTTTCCGTTCTCGTCGACGAAATAATCGACCGTCAAGCTGTTTTGGGTGTCGTGTGCCGCACTGTAAGCGGTGACCGGACGACAAGGTATACCGAGTGCTCTGCAAGCTAATAAAAAAAACAATTTGTTTACACAGTTTATGCACATTAAAATATAGTTGGAATTTAAAATGGTACCTAATAGCACAGAGAACTCTATTAGTATTCCTTTGATTTTCCAACGCAGGAATATGCGATTATGATGTCCCAGTTAATTTTGTAATGGACTCTTAAGTCCATTAGCTTAAAATGGCACTCGTCCCGGTTAAATAAACTATTATGATTTTCAATTTAACATTTCTATTGCTTGCTGTTGTATGTTTGTTGACAGGAGATTTGTGATTATTAAATACAAAATTGTACACTTATAAATTATAATTTTTAGACGTGACTGTAGTTATACCTAATGCAAATTTTAACACTGAGATAACTTAATATGGTAAAGAATTTTTTTTATGAAGTTTATGTAAAATGTTTCCAATATGTTGAATTAGTAATACGAAAATATTGAAATTTTAAGATTGATGTAGCAAAAATGGGTACTTGGTTAATAACTAGTAAACCCAGAGGCGTATATAATATTTTCTTGAGGAAGGGGATATGATTTATTTTTGTTTTTTTGAGCTTATTTTTTTCCTAAAGCATTATAGACTTATGAAGCTTTTTAGGGATAGGTAAGTTACCCCAAAATTATTTATAGTGCCCCAAAAATTTGTGAAATGCTCTAAATGCCACAATGACAAATATAGTTTTGATCATAAAACGAAATTAGGTTTAGACCCAAAGCTCTTGGAAGTTTTTGACTGAGATTTAGATTGTAGACTGTCCTAACGTAACCTAACCACTGTGCCGGCTTTATATGCTGTATATTTGTTTAACACTCCGACAATATACCATACCCGTTGTCAGAACGCCGGCAAACACCCAACACTGTCCGTACTTGACGGATTTCTTTTTCTGATAGAACTTTTGCAGGATTTCGGAGCTGCCCAGCCAATCGATGGGCGGTGTACCTCCCCCGAAATCTTCAGTCCAATTGCCGGTGACGGCACCCATGTCGTCCGGAGAGTTCACCTGCAGAACAACCGGCGTTTACATAATACAGGGTGTCCCAAAAAGAACGGTGGGATTTCAAACGGCTGTGGGTTGTAAACTATTGGACCTACAGCGCTCTGGTAGGACTTGAATGAAAGAGGTAGTGGTCAAATTTTGAATAACTGCCATAATAGGCTGACGACATAAACGGAAACGTGAAGAGACATCTAGTGGCAGTCGTTCGAAACTTGACAACTCTGTCTTTCGTTCAAGCCCTGCCAGAGCGCTGTAAGTCCAATACTTCACAACCTACAGCCGTTCGAAACCCCACCACTCTTTTTAGGACACACTGTAATTTATTGTCGGGTCTGTGCGGCGCGAAACCAAAGGAGGAGCAAGTGAGTCCCGAGGGATGTAACAATAGATAGGTATAAGGGTTGTGGGCTTACGGCCGCCGAGAGGACCCTGCTCACGATCACGGGGTCGTTGCAGCTGGAAAACGACAGCTTTCCCACTTTGAGCAATAAATACAAACAGCAGTCGAGCACGTCCTTGTCGAATTGCCCGTACTTCCACACGACCTCCTTCATCCGGTTGTAACTGCCGCGCCACATCAATCCGTCTTCGTTCAGCACGTACTCCTCCCTGTGTTTGTCGTCCTTCAGGTACACGTCCTCGTCTGCGGGGCAAAACCAAAAAACGGGCCAAATATATTCCACAGCTCAACGAGAGCTGCTCGAACCAAAAACGTTTCCGCAATGTCTGCGCGCTCTCACCTTGAACCCAAGGGTTGAAAATTATGTAGATCGGATTCCGGTGGCTGTAGTTGTAGGAAACGTCCCGTTTGAACTTGGTGTCGATGTCCACAAACCATCTTCCCACGATACAGGTCACCGACGGCATAATCTGTCGACCATCAGACATTAGTGATTAATCAACATAGTTAGTCAACCTTATTCTCAATTTAAATAATTAATGAAATATATGCGTTACCGTTTAACTTGCTATTAAAAAAAACTAAGTTGAATGGGGGGGGGGGGGGTTAAACACAAAACAAATTGTAAAAAATTGACATCTTATTGTAGAAAATCACTAAAAATGATTTCATAACATATTATATATGTATACAATAATTTAATTTCTAGAATGTGGTCACACTGATTGTAAGTCGAGCAGGGTTTCGGTTATCAGTAAATGATCCCGTATGGTTTTATCTAATCTCTGGTGGTACTAAAACAGAAGAGAAACTAAATAATTTTTTCATGGGCTCTTATTGGAAGATATAAAATCATTTCCGAACTTGACATCAGAAATGGACAGTGCTGGCATTCTCATATTCGTTCTTTCAGGCTGAACTGTTAACTCGATAACAGTGTAGCCATAAATCAAAGGGAAAAAAAAATATCTGCATTATGGCATCACTGTCTATTTCTCAATACGTCTGATCCTTATCTGATAAGCTTCGAAGATGCTCTTCTGTTTACTCTGTGTTACTAGGACCGACAATGGTAGGATTTTCAACGGTATAGAAGTTTAACACGACTTACTTTTACTTTGAGTTGTTGTTCGTTGACTTCCAGCACGTAAGCCGACCAGTTCAAATCGTTTGTCGGTTTCCGCAACAAAGGCACGACTGCCAACGTACCGTGTCCGAAATTTGGTTTATCCGCACCTGCGTACAACGCACGAATTAGTAAAAATTAGAAAAGGGATACAACAATTTCCCCACAATCTTAAAGTCGAGCTGGGAAAGTAAAAACACAGGAATTGTCTTGTAAGGTGATGTTAATTAAAGATAATATTGGCCGGACAGGTGTCCGCGTACACGGATAGCTATAAAAGATGCTCAACCGTGTAATAAAAAAACCGGATGCCTTCAATTAGATTTTAAAGTCACTCCAAGATGACCTGACCTTTTAAGTAATAATTTGTTTCATTTCACCACCGAACAGAATACCGGACAAATTGCTTGCAACAGCTGTAATTTACTTAAACTATTCATACTATCGTGTTGGCAGCACTGTCGCCTTATTTGTATTTATTGACTAAAATTATGTACTACACTTAATGAACAAGAACCAAAATACTTAAAGCATATTTTGTATCGCTCAATCAGAATCTGACCTCAGATGTTTCCCAGCAAGACAGGGTTTTCTTAAGTGTCCTTTAATGTTGTTGACTACTTGCAAAAAACAGAATTTTCTTATTTTCTTTGTGGTAAAACCAATTCTATGTTGTCGGTTATGAACTTTGCAAAAAAACCTGAACCACTTTAAAGAAAACTATTTAAACTTTAGTGTGGATTTAAAAAAAAAACGATTAACGTCATAGAGAAAGTCTGAGGCTTGATCCAGATTCAACAAGAAGTAGTCCATGTACCTGGTGATTGGTTAACTATGATCCATTCAATATTTCAGAAGACATTATACATTTTTTTAAATTGTTTCTTTTTATATTTTTATAGTTAATAGTTTATCCAATTTGTGTACATTTTTCAAAAGTATAACCCTGTCGTTGTGTGTTGTCACCTTATAAACTTATGCTTTTGAAATAGTATGACATATGTTCAATTGACTTGTTAATTTTTGGATTATTACGTTTAAAGAAATTTAAAGTTTATAACTTTTTTTATACTTTGGTTCTTGTTTAAAAAAATTGGTCAAATTTTGCATTATTGCCGTACTTCAAAATAATATCGACAATTTGATAATAAACTAAATTTATAATTTATTTTAGTAATATTTGTACCTTTTTTTGTAAAGGCCTTGCACATGAAATATTAGTAAAAAAAAACCCTTTGAAAATCGATGAAATTATTAGACTCATAAATTCCTACCAAAATTGTCCACCTTGCTATGCTTGCCAAAAAGAGATTTTTAACAATTTATTTGATTTTAATTTAAGAATAATTGGCCGAAAATTTCTATTAGTTGCTAACCAGTTCATTCTTGAATTTGCCTACAGTCCTAAATTTTAAACTTAAAAGTGATTACACAAAACTAGTTGCCGTAAATATTTTTTTCAGCAAATTTGTTTCAACTAAGAAAGTTAATCCAATACAACATAGGTTATATTTTTAATAATGCTTAATTATTAGGGATTTAATAAAATATGGCGTGGGATAGTGCCTATAAAAGTGATGTCGAATTCGAGCTAGCTAATTAGTAAAAAAAATCCAATCAACGTCGTTTGACATAATATCGACAGGGTACTGGTTAAGCCTGTACACCCTATACAACAATGTCGTTTGTGGGCAGCTGTAAAAAAGAGTTTAAGACACTTAAAAAAAAAAAAAAAGAAGAAAATTATGAGACAAACGGTTTTTACCGAAAACCGGATTTCAAAATAGGTACGCTACCTAGGTTTGTACACGGTTGTTATTGTTATTATCATAATAATAATATAAGAGTGGGTACCGTATTATAATATTTCATACTTCACAATAGGAGTTCATCGAATCGTTTAAGCTGAACAAACACACACACACGGAATAGCGACGATGACAAACCTTTTGGTAATTTGTCATAAAAAAAAAAAAATATATTATATTTCTGTAACTCGAGGATTAAAACGGCGTGGAATATAATATAATATTGGATCGCATAAAAAAAAAATATATTAAAAAAAACACAACCCAGTCAAAACTAGTGGAAAAACGCATAAATTTCATAAACGTCAACATCTAAGTTTTCAGGTATTCAAATTATGTGTTTTTTATATTATCATACAGTATAATTTATTATGCTAGTATAGAAGATGTGTGAGTAGTGGATAATAATAATAATAGCCGTTAAATAACAAAAAAAAAAAGTCAGTTTTATCTTTATTTTTTTTTCTCCTTGGCTATAATAATGTTGTATAATAACACCATATCGGTTTCGTTAAAACAGGAAGGATGGGCATCATCGAGTACCATCGAAGATTATTTTAATTTTTAATTAGATTTGTATGTTCATAGGCGATAAAGAGTAAAAATTTAACGTTTTAATCCTATTTATTTATTTTTTTAAATATTTACATTATTATTAAACACACTTAACAACCCGTGAAAACGTGTTTTTTAGGCTTTATTTGAAAATAAATAACACATACAAGTAAAGTGGACAATTTTGTAGCAATTTATGAGTGTAATAATTTCATTGTTTTTCAGAGGGTTGTTTTTTTACTAATATTTCATGTGCAAGCCCTCACAGAAAATGGTACAAATATAATTATAATATATTATAAAATATTTAATTTACTATCAAATTGTCGATATTTTTTTGAAAAACAGCAATAATGCAACATTTAACCATTTTTTTAACAAGAACCAAAGTATAAAAAGTTTTAAACTTAAATATCTTTAAACGTAATAATCCATAAATTAACAAGCTAATTGAACATATTTCATACTATTTCAAAAGCATAAGTTTATAAGATGACAACACACAACGACAGGGATATACTTTTGAAAAATGTATACAAATTGGATAAACTATTAACTATAAAAGTATAAAAAGAAACAATTTAAAAAAATTCTTATGTCTTCTGAAATATTGACTGGGTCATAGTTAACCAATCACCAGGTACATGAACTACTTCTTGTTAAATCTGGATCAAACCTTAGACTTTCTCTATCACATTATTTGTTGTTTTTTTTAAATCCACTCCAAAGTTTAAATAGTTTTCTAAAAAGTGATTTCAGGTTTTTTGCAAAATTCATAACTGGTAAAGAAGAATTTTTTTTAAAATCACAAAAACAATTTTAAAAATGCTGTTTTTTCCAAGTAGTCAACAACATTAGAGGCCATTTAACAAAAAAAAAACAGGTCGTGCTGGGAACATCTAAAGTCAGACTCGGATTGAGTGATAAAAAATATGCTATGCTTTAAGTATTTTGGTTCTTGTGCCAAAAGTGTAGTACATTAAAGCTCAAATATACAAAACCGTACCAATGTAAATCTAATAGCTTTATTTGACATATATGTTTAGGCTACATAGTTGAAAATAATTTAGTATTTGAGTACTTTATTTCAGTAAACCAATTAAAGATGCACTAATTGTTGAACTAGTTTTCTACATAATAAACCATTATTAAATATGAATTGTACCGACTGGGAGTTAATGGACGATTCGTGTAGATAAACTATTTTGATAAGTAAAAAAACATACAAAAATGCAATTAAATTACTTAGTTTAGCCAAACAATTATATAGACAACGATTAGTCGATATCTTTGTTTTTTTTATAAATTAAATAATTATTTAGATAACAATCACAAACGGGTGGGTCGACTAAAAGTAAAATTTTGAAAATAGATTAACATAATAGTTGTCCAGTTACATTTGGAATGTTTTCCGAATAATAATAGTATTGGACAATGACAGAGTTTGGCCTAATTGATTATTTTATTATGGCTAAACTGAATAATGGAATCCGTGTGCAAGAAAGAGTTATTAAAAAGTAAAAACTGAAAAAGAAAATCGATAAAACCGAAAAAACCAACTACTCAACTAACACACAGGATACATAGCCTCAAGATAGGTCCCTCTAGAGACAACTGGATCAATCAAATAAACAAAAAACCAATACTAAAGAAAATTTAAGTAGAAATAATTTAACTTATAATAATTATTATGTATTTATAAATGTAAAAATATGAAAACTTGAATAATAACATTGTGTGTGTGCAGGTCATGATGACTTATATGTCAGAATAACTTTATAAATAAAATAAAGTTTTTACTTGTTTTTTTTTAGTCACGGGCATTTAGTATTGAGATTTTGATATTAATTGAAATAGGCTTAACGCTGTAAAAAGCAAGTTAAGAATGATTGCACGTTTTTCATCGATTGATTAAAACCGATAGTCATTTCGTTTCTATTAAAATCCCCAGACATATTATTATGTTCATATACTTGAAATATTTTCTATCGACAATTATTATTTAATTTTTCATTCCAGCCTCGTTACGCTGGATAAGATTATTATACCATGACCTGTACATATAAATAAGAAATACCATTTGCATTTCATAATAAATTACAACAAACATAAATTATTCGCGTACGGATAGGGCTTCGACGACTACATTACAATTACATTGGTATTCGACGGTAAATTATCACATTAGCAATTGTGATTTAATATAATTATGAGTTGTCGGTTTTTTTAAATGTAAAAAAAACCATCTAAAGTGGTATTTCATAAGATAGTAAACTTGCCTTGTAAAATTCAATCAGCTGATTTCATCAACATTTTAAGGATTTAGGTAACTTGTTGTTAATTATATTTATCAATTAGCAGAGTTTTAATAATAATCGAGACAATATTATATTTGTTGCCATTTGAAAATCTCAAGTCCATAATGGTTTAACACACATAATCAGCCGGTTTCACCAACTATTGTTAAATACACAATGTTAGTTTACAATTCATTTAAATTTAACATCTGGTTAAATGAAATAAGTTTAACCATAACATTATTAACGTTAAATTCTATTTGTTAAGTTGACAAAACGTCAGTTGGGTTACCAAAGCGGTTACCTCGATTCCAACGTTCTCATTGGTTATCAAGTTATGTGATAACTCATAAGAGATTGTATTATTTAATTTGACAGTTTGATATTATTTGGCATTTTGTTTTACTTTCTTTTAACGTTTCGATTCATATATAAATAATTTAGATATAA